CCCCCATCACCCCATCACCCATCACCCCCCTCCCCATCACCTCCCTCCCCATCACCTCCCTCCTTAATTATCCCCATCCCCCATCATCTCCCTCCCCCAATTACCTTCCAATCTCCATCACCCCACTCCCTCAATCACCTCCCTCCCCATTATCCCCGTCACTTTCCACCATCTCCCTCCTCCTCCATCTCCCTCCCCCCTCCCTCACCATCCCCCTCCCTCACCATCATCACCCTGCTCCCGCCCCCATCACCCTGTTCCTCCCACACATTCACCTCCCCAATCACCCCCATCAGCCTCCTCCCTCCTTTATCCTCCCCAACAAATGCTCCCCTCCCCCATCAACCATATTCCACCTTAATCCCCCTTCCCCATCATCCCACTCCCTCCATTATCTCCACTCCACCCCAATGGCTCATCATCTCCCCTCTCTGCCGTTGTCCTGCTCCTCCCCCATCATCCTCAAACCCCACTGTCCCAATATCCTCCACCCCGTCATCCCCAATCCCTCCCCTCACCAACCACTCTTCCACATTTCCTACATCTTGCAATCACTCCCTGTCAGCCTGCCCCATCCAGCTGTCCATTCCTTCCTCATCTTCCATTTCTTCAGTTATCTTTACATTTTCCCACAATTCCCTGCCTCCATCTCACCCCATATCTGCCTTGTTATGTTTCTGAATACATAATATTGCTTTATGATATTTATTTTCCTACCTAGATGCATTTACTCTCTGGTCAAGTCACTTTCTCGGTATTCTGATGATCTACCAACTTTACCACCAAATCTAAAAGACAAGTTGATTAAAATCATGAGCTCACATGGGATTATTACAGATGAAAATATGCATCAGGTGAGCAAAAAGATAGCTTGTTTGACAATGTCCAAGCTCGTTTATTCTGAAAATTATTTCCGATTTCAGTCAGCAGCTGACCGTTGATTTTATTACGTGCATTTTCATTTTGTGTTTCCATTAATCAACACATTGACCGTTGGAGGCATTCATATTATGGATAGATTCATCCATTGTGAATAGTCTGGTTGCCGTTAGAGACAGCAAATCAGTTGTGGGGAATAATTTTCCTGATCTGATTGCATCATTCGCCAGTGGTGAACCTAGATATTTTGTGTTGACAGCTTGCTTGAATGCATCGCGGTGAATCTGATTTTGTGCACACCCATTCTCCATATGTGCAGTCTTTCCACTACTGTTACAATGTATAGCTATCAGCAAGAGGGTCTGCATTTTTGCCGTCATTCATTCGTGAGAACGCCTCCTGAGTATCCAAGATTGTCATAAAAGTTTCCTGTGAAACTTTACATGTTTTGCGGCGGTTGTTTCTTTCAACGTGTTATTTCTAGCCACGATGCACAATTGTTAATTTGAGCAGGCAAACTTGGGAGTGAGGCCTTCCATATTCGAGGGAATATTAACTCACGTCACTGGAATCTTCCTCATTATCCTGTAATGCCCACAAAAATTCTGCAGATTCAAGCATTTCTTCAGTTGGGTAATTTCAGTTGTTATTGTCAAAGTTCAACATGTTTTCCAAGATAGCATTAACTTATTTTCTGACAGCAAGTTCTTTGCTTGCAGGTTTTGCACCCAGGACTCCAGAAACTGGATCTCAGTGCCTGTGACATTACAGATCATGGATTAATCATGCTTCAGATCTGCACCCAACTAAGGGAAATTAACTTGAATTCGAGTGACTGCAAACTGTCTATAACTTCTGAAGGTATTTTAACTTTAACTTTTGAGTTCATTTTGAATGCAACAGCCATTGCAGTCAAAACAGGTTAATTAATCTTATTTCAGTCATTCATTATCTTATGGGAAGACTGGATTTTTCTTGAGGTGAAAGTAAGTTGGCTAAAAATGAAATATTGCAAGCAAGAAGGCTGCTATCCTCAAAGTCATGAAAGGTGGAAATGAGATTGGCATAGCTTCTTCTATAGATGAACTTGTGATATACTCTTTACAGTAGTCTATGAACAGATCACCAGTTGGTCTGGCAAATGAAGCAGGACAGCCAGAACTGGCCAGCTCGATTTCTGACATGGTCATGTCAAGACTGCGATTAAGTTGCCAGCTCAGTTACCTATTCAGATGAACAATGTGGGTTAGCATTGCTACATCAAAGCACAACAACACTTTTGGGGGTCTGTAGATTCCCTCCACTTGCCACCAAACATGGTTCTCACGGACAGAGTTAATGGACAAGAAACATAAATGGGATGCTTTCGATGTTTGCAGCCTGTGGTACTGGGATCAGTTCTGGAGCCTCTGCCCTTTACAATCTGGTAATGATGTGGACAAAGACACAGTAATGTATCAAAGTTTGCTGATGATTCAAAGCGAGGTGGGAATGATAGTTGTGGGAACGATACAGTAATGCTGCATAGACACACAGGTTAGGTGAGTGGGCACCAAGATGGCAGTTGGAGTATAATGTAGCATGGGGGACATATAACATGTGAGGTTATTCACTAGCTTACAGTAGAAAGCAACATACACTTTTTTTAAAAGTTCAGAAACATTTGAATGTCGATGTTCAGAGAGACTTGGGTTCTACTTATACAAGGAATACCAAGTTCGCAAGCAGGTAGAGCATGCAAGTAAGAAGGCCAACAGCCTGTGTTGTAAGGCGTACAGAAGCAAAGAAGTCGTGTTACAATTGCTTGGGACTTTGTTGAGAGCTCATCTGGGGTATGATTCGCTGATTTGATCTCCATGCTTAAAGAATCATATACAGAGGTGGTACAATGAAGATTTACAAGATTGGTCCCTAAGATCCGAGTCTTATGATGGGATACTGATAAATTGGACCTGTGTTCTTTGGACTTTACAAGAGTGAGAGGTGGTCTTATTGAAGATTCTTTAGCAGGCAGAGGTGGTTTCCATAATCGGGGAATCCAAAACCTTGGGTAGAGTGTTGGGTGAAGGAAACAGAAATTTAGGACTGAGTTGACGAGATGTTTCACATTTGTGTTGTGAATCTTGGTAATTGTCTACTCTTAGAGGTTGATAGATGCTCCATCAATTAACATATTTAAAACTGGACTAGATGGGTTATTATCTCAGAATTGAAGAATATTACGAGTAGATGATGTTGAAGCCCAAGATCCGTCTTGATTGTAATGAATAGCGAAGCAGGCTGGACACCCTGTACTGTTTGCGCATTTCTTTCGATCTAGTGCTCTGCTTCATCTGGAACACTGCTTTCTCTCCTCCCCACTCCACTCCCTCCCAAGTTAGAACCAGACAAAAATGATGCCTTCATAGGAATAATAATGAAGATTATGTGCAAAGACCTTTTCTTGTGCTTTGATATTTCACAAAGTATTAGAGCTTGTACATTAGTGCTAAATGACTTGTCACTGATTTATTCATATGGTGCCACTGTGAAATCCAAATTTCTAATTGTAATGCATTCTGCAGGATTAAAGGTGATTGCTTCATCTTGTCCCTACTTGTCAGAAGTGTGTCTTCGAAGATGCCGGAATGTTTCAGATGAAGGAATTGTCGCCCTTGCACAACAATGTAGACTGTTACAAGTAGTGAACATTAGTGGCTGCTTGGGGGTTACAGATGCCAGTTTACATGCCCTGGGGAAGAACTGCAAGTTTTTGTATAGCGTCGATTTTTCAGCTACCAAGGTACAGTGATTTTAGGTTTTTTTTATACAGCATTTGTGCTATTCAAGTAAAATGAATGTAAAATTTTCTGTGCGTCTTCCTTCTGTATGTTTTTCTACCTTTATTGCTTTGACTTTCATCTTTTAGATCCTGAATATGAGGTCTGCCTAACAGCAGCTCCTTTGTTCTTTTCTCTATATCTCACAATCTTCCAGTTTCCTTTTCAGTCTCTCGGAGGAGCCTCCCAAAATCGGTTTCAAGTTGTCTAATATTTCACCCTTTCTTCCTCATCCTCCATATCCTTATAATTTTGAATCATTCGCATCTTTGTTGCCTTTTCTTGATGACCTTCACTGAAGATCTTTCCTCCTGCATGATCCTGAGAGCCCCTTTATTGCTCATGTGTTCTTTCCAAATGACCTGCTCTAGCCTTTTCCAGATCCACAATCCACAACTTTCCAATCTTTGGATGCCTTGCTTTTCTCAAGTTCCCGGATATTCCAAATTGTAATCTAGATCATTCTTTCTTTACGTTCTCTACTCATTCCTGTAATTGAGAAATGCTTTACATTTGGAGAATGCATTCTTTGCCATTGCTGTTCTAGCTCTGATTTCTTTATAGCAGCAACCATCTTCTGAGAAAATGCTTCCCAGATACTTCAATTATAATAAATAGCATGCCAACAGAACTAGAACTAAAGAAAGATGAAAATATTTCCCAAGATGGTTTAGGACCTGATCTTTTGTATTGTGAAATGTCTAGAAGCAGAAAAGAATTGAAGGCAGGAATAATAGAAGAATGTAATGGAATCCCTGTTGAAGCGATAAGAGATTGGAAAGAAGGCAACAAGAGAACTGATGTACTGTGTAAAGGGATGTATACAATGGGAGAATGGTTGAAAAGACTCTTTTCAAAAGGACAGTGGTCCTTTGGAGAATAAATGAAATGGTACAAAATGCAAAGAGCATTGCACCATAATTTGGATTATATAAGCTCCAAGGTAATGTTAAAGCTCCGAGCAAATAGATTGGAAGCCGAAGCAAGCCATTACATCGGCTGTAATCATTTTGGCTTTAGAATGATTTGTGGTCAAGAGAGGCTATAGCGGCGTGTTAAGTAAAAGAAACATAGAATGCCAAAAACTATAACAACATGCATCTATAGATGTTAATGGATTGAATGAATGAGCTAAGCAAAAATTACGAATGAAAATTAATGTAGAAAAGACAGGAATGAAGATTGGAAGAAATGATGGTGGGAAAACAGGAGTCAATTTTAATGTCAGCAGTTGGAATGGGTGTCATGACTGAAGTATCTGAGACAGCATATCTTACTGGGCAATTCAGCTGTGTGGGCATGGCAGTTCTGCCTATAAAGGCACCCTTTACTCGGGAATCAGAGGATGACGATCAAGATTCTTGGATGTTCTCTCTGCTTTCCATCCTGGAGCTATCAAAGCCCATTACTCTGTCTCATCCAGAGTTGGGTATCTTAGGAGAATTGAACATGCGCTCTGCATAGTCTGCTCTGCAATGCAATTATATACTAGTCTGCAGGGCATATTTGTCTAATAGTAAATTACAGAGCTTGTTTGTTTCCCTACTCCACTGTTTTAAATTGTACAACAGGGTGCTGACTTCTCCCACATGTAGTCTCATGGGTGCTGGCTGTTGGTCCAGTACTTTGCTTATGTAAGCAACGTTCATGTGTGATCGTAGATGGTGGCAGAATAAAATAGAATCCCTACAGTGTGGAAACAGGCCGTTCAGCCCATCAAGTCAACACTGACACTCCAAAGAGTGTCCCACCCAGACATGTAACCCCACATTTCCCATGGCTAGCCCACCTAGCCTGCACATCCTTGGATACTATGGGCAACTTAACATGGCCAATCTACCTAACCTGCACTTCTTTGGATTGTGGGAAAAAACTGGAGCACCCGGTGGAAACCCATGCAGACACGGTGCGAACTCCACGCAGACAGTTGCCCAAGGGTAGAATCAAACCTGGGACCCTGGCATTGTGAGGCAGTAGTGCTAACCACTGAATCACCGTACCACCCAAGGGACAGATATCGGGGAAGGCAGGTGAAAGCAGAGCCAAGTCTGAATCCACAATCAACTGATATTTTTTGCATACACAGCAAGTTAATCAAAGGCATTTGGGAAGTTGATTCCCCCCTCTAACTCAAACATTGGGATCAATTGTAGAAGTTTTCTGGCACTTTTTCTAAGACCAGATAACTCCGCACAGACCCAAGGACCTTTATATTTGTTGTAGATGAACTACTCACTGTTGTAACCTAGTGAGGCTTCTGAAAATCTCTTGATAATTATGTTAGTCTGAAGCCATTTAATTTGATAACGTGGTAAATAAAGTTCACTTCCCAGAACATCGTTAATAAATCAATATTCTGCAAGAAACATAATTACTCGGAAGACTAAAAGCATAGATTGTTCTTTAATTAAAGATGAAGAAAATTAGTGGATAAATTGGAACTGAGTTACACTAAATGTCATTCCAATGTATGGAATAAATTTATTTTAATGCATAGTGTAAGTTAACAATAATGAGGTCAGTATTTTGGGTGACTACCTCTGTAAACAGTTTCTCATGGCCTGCAAAGTTAAATGAAAAAATGATGGAAGGTGTCATCAACATGTTATCAAGCAGCACGTGCTCAGCAACAACCTGCTCTCTGATAGTCCATTTAGGTTTGGTCAGGGCTACTCAGCTCCTGACCCTGTTACAGCCTTGCTTCAAACATGGACAAAAGACATGAATTCCAGAGGTAAGGTGAGAGTAACAGCCCTTGATATCAATGCCACATTTGACCAATGTATGGCATCAAGGCTCCCTAGCAGAGAGTGAATTTTGAAACAAAAAAAAATTTAAATAACACAGAAAGCCGAGCATTTCCCTTCTTCTCAATCTAATACGTCAACCTGAAACCAGAAATAAAAATGTTAGTCTCAAACCATACAGTCTAGAGTGCCTGGAATTTGATTCCCAGTGCTTATCAAGGTTGTCTCATCTCACTTGGGGTACATTTATGTAATGTTTTCATCCAATCTGCAGTAGCACTTTGAGCCTAATTTCTGAGCCTTTTTTCTTTTCTGTTTTCAACTAACTTCCTACCAATTGCTGTAGCACTGCCATTTCATTACGTTGATCATAATACAGGAATAAGTGAGATGTTGTTTTCCTTCACTTTGCCTCTTTCAGAATAACTCAAGGGCTGTCAGATAGCTTGCCTCTGCCCACCCCACCACCCCACAGGTTCTGAAGAAGGGTCACTGGACCCGAAACATTAACTCTGCTTTCTCTCCGCAGATGCTGCCAGACCTGCTGAGTTTTTCCAGTAATTTCTGTTTTCATTTCTGATTTCCAGCATCCCCACAGTTCTTTTGGTTTTCTGACAAACAGGATGTTGGGTGCTGGATGCAGGACTCCTCATGTCAATCAATCTGTAGTTATACAACACTTTGGTGGGTTGGAAAGGGGAAACAATGGTTCTATCGGTGAAAAATCAACCTGAAACTGAATTGTAAACTTTCCATCTTCACATACTGATTGACATGATGAGTATTTTCCAATTTTTTTTGTTTCTCAACCACCAGAGATCCCAAGTTCAGTCTGTGCAAAGTTAGCACATCGAGGTTGAGTGTGTGATATGGGTGCAACATTTAGCCTTGTGAACCATGGAGTATAAAGTCAGACAGTGTTCATGCCCAGTGATTCCTTCTGAAAAAGACCTGCATGGATCTCATGTGAGAACACTACCAAACTTTGCTTTAGTGTCTCCTCTTCATAGTGCAGTCAAAAATTCTACTATCTCTCAAAGATGACAAAGTTCGCACAGACATACTTGACACTGACATGTAAGTCCTGGAGGCTGACCACTGCCTCTGGAATTTTACCCAGGAAGAATCTGTACAATCAGGAAGAAAAGAGAAAAAATAATCAGTGTCTTTTCCCACTAGATACCCATGAGAACTACAATTGAGTTTGGCTAATGCAATAATTATTACATACCACACAAGGGCATTGTGAGTAAGAGCACGCAGGACCTTCTGGTAAACCGTGTGGAGAAATGTAGGAATGTATATCAAAAATAGTCCAGCTGAAGAAATTGTATTGTTGAATAAGCTGTTAGCAGGAGTTGGTTTTCAGCCATGTTTCTTGTAGGTTAACGTTGACACCTGTTTAGTGAATGTTGCTATTTTTGACTTTGTCAGGTTTCAGATGCAGGCGTTATTGGATTGGTGAATGGAGTGTGTTCCCATAACTTAAAAGTAAGTTTTGTATTGACTATTCCTTTGCTCTAATCCCTATTTGAATATTGTCCATCTCTCTCTGTCTTTCTCTCTCTCTCCCTCTTCCCATCTCTGCGCCCCTGCCCCCCCAGCCACCCCCACCATAGTTGACATGTATGAATTCAAATACGAGTTAGACCGCATGTACAATAACAATCTTGTGTTCCAACTGTTGGGGTGTAAGCTGAGTTCTGAGAGGGAGGGAATGAGAGCAGAAGTGTAAGAAATGGAACTGGGACTTCAAGGGCCAACAGCCAAGATGGACAGTAATCTTTAGGTTGAGGACAAAGAATGTACAGGAAGCACAGGTATAGAGTTTCACATCATTGGAACAGAGATGATAGAGGCAGAGAAGCAGGGATAATGGAACAGATCCCTTGCACAAAGAAGATGGAAGTGTTGACTAGGCTGTGGGAGTCAGTGGCCTCATAATGAAAATTATCCCCAAGGTTGAAGAGACACAAGGTGACGAAAGGAAGAGTTAGAGATGAACCATAAAGGTGAGGGAGAAGGCTAAGTCGGGAAAAAAGGTGGATGAAATTTTACAGTTTGGGAGAGAGCAGGAGAAACGAGAGCTTCCCAGCATATTGACCTACCCTTCTTCCAATATTTTACATTTCTGTCATGTCATCATTTCAATCTTTTCTCCAGTGCATACTTTGAGGGGACCACAGGTACTGTTGGTGTTATTTAGAAAGCAGGATTTTTTTTCTTAGCTAACATTCCTCCCACAACCAAGTCCTGCCCCCACATCCCCGCCCTGAACCGCTGCATTTGTCAATGTGACAATAACTGTTACGCCTCAAGGTAATTCACTTTGTGTGAAGTTGCTGAGGAAATTACATGGTATTATATGAGTGCAGTTTAATTTCCTTTTGAAATAGGACTTCACATTTTCCGAGTAGTTTAACATACAGATACCCTTTCTTTAGGAGATTCATATGGATCGCTGTGTGAATCTAACTGATGAAGCAGTGGAAAGTGTGCTAATTTTCTGCCCCCACGTTTTCATACTACTTTTTCACGGCTGCCCACTTATCACAGGTGAGTCAATGTGCAAGATCTATCCTTTTTACCTGTGCCTTTAGTTTTGCTGCTGTTGCAAACTGGGAGGCAAACGCCTAGTGGCATTCTTACTCAACTATTAATTCAGAGACCTAGGTTATATTTTGGGTTCGAATCCTGCCATCGCAGGTGGTGAATTTTAAATTTGGTTAAAAAATATCTGGAATTAAGAATTATCGGAAAAACTCATTTGGTTCACTAATGTCTTTTAGGGAAGGAAATCTGCTGTCATTATTTGGTCTGGGGTCTACGTGTGACACCAGACCCATAGCGATGCGGTTGAGTTTTAACTGCCATCTAGACAATTAGTGACGGGCAATAAATGCTGGCTTAGCCAGCGATACCCATATCCAGTGATTTTTTAATAAAAAATGCTTTATCCTGCATGTAAGGTTCCAGGCTTGGCCCCTGTTCTGTGCTGAGTAGGCAGTTCTGAGCACCTTGGGTGTCTCTCCTGATTGTTGATCACAATGTTATTGAATAGAAATTGAGTGGAAATATGGCTACATTTTTACGTGATTGTGTCTGACTGCAATGCCCCACAAGATCAATAAGCATGCTAATGCTTGTAGTGTGGGCTTACGTGAATAATGCTTCCCTGTAACAGATATTGAAGGCAGCTGTTGAATCATCAAGATTTAACATCTTCAATAGAGAAAGAAACTTCAGGAGAGGATCAAGACTCTGGTAAATGGCCTCTTCAACTATGCTCTGCTTTATTTCTGTTTCTAGATCGTTCAAGAGAAGCTCTGCAACAGTTAGCCTGCCCTAATCAAATGAAGCAAGTAACGTGGACCGTTTACTGAATTAACTTTATTTCCACCATTTAATATTTGTTAATTAAACAATGTTCTGTAACTTTCGTATAATAGCAACAACTGCTCTGAGCATTTAATAGTAAAATTTATGTGACCAAGTAATTATCAATTAAATGTTTAATTTAATTCAATCTAATTACTGAGAACAGTATAGAATCTTTGTATATGTGCAGTGTAGCACATGGTAATATATATTAGTACCGTTCCTATTATGTTGTGCTGTGACGTACAAATAAATGTTGGTACAAATGAATTTGTGTCAGTGGCTGGGTTCGACTGATTAATGATTTGCTTTAAGAGCTAGGAAGGGTACAGCAGTATATTTAGTATGGTCCTGAATAAGCAGTTCAAATCCTACTGCAGTTTCTAAAAAAAAAAGTGGGTAGAATCAGAAAAGAAAGACCACACCTCGTCTGTCCCACATGCAACTTAACTAACTCGGTACTGTGACAAAACATCATGGATTTATAAAGGTATCCAGGATTCCCACTGCTGCCCAGTAATATCCCAGATATAAAAACAAATTTGCTGGAAAAGCTCAGCAGGTCTGGCAGCATCTGTGAAGGAAAAAACAGAGTTAACGTTTCGGGTTTGGTGACCCTTCCTCAGAACGTTCTGAGAGGTTCTGAGGAAGGGTCACCGGACCTGAAACTTTAACTCTGTTTTTTCCTTCACAGATGCTGCCAGACCTACTGAGCTTTTCCAGCAAATTTGTTTTTGTTCCTGATTTACAGCATCCGCAGTTCTTTCGGTTTTAATTTAATATCCCAGTTATGTCTTACGACAAAAATCTCCACACGCTGCTGGATGTCAGTCCATAATTCTCCTGTCTGGTGGTCTCGGGAAGCTCATATTCTATGACCTTCTGCAGGCAATGCTGTGCAGCGTAATTTGTGAACTGTGATCTTCCTGGATCCCCAACCAGAATCTCTGATCCGTGAAACTTCTTGTATTCTGTCAACCAATTGTGAAGACTGGCAGCAAGTTCTTCATCATAAAACATGTCACCTAAAAGAATCACATCCCATTTTTCTTCCATCTCTCCAATTAAACTTTCTATTGCCACTCGTAGTGGTGGTATTTTGTTAAGTTCACAGTTCATTCCTATAGAGACTGCTGCAACTGTAGAAGAGCAAAATAAAACAATGTAAACAAATATGACAAAGGTTTGTAAAATGATTACCATTTGAGAGCTTGGGTTCTAAAGAGAAGGAATACTGTATCACTTTTTTTTTATATATCGTGCACATTAAAGGGAAAGAACTGCCTCACAGCATCAGGGACCTAGGTTCAATTCCACCCTTGGGTGACTGCCTGTGTGGAGTTTGCACATTCTCCCCGTGTCTGCGTGGGTTTCCTCCAGGTGCTCCAGTTTCCTCCCTCAGTCCAAAGATGTTCAGGTTAGGTGGATTGGCCATGCTAAATTGCACGTAATGTTCAGGGATGTGTAGATTAGGTAGGTTATAGGGCAATGGGTCTGGGTGGGACACTCTGAGAGTCAGTGTGGATTTGTTGGGCTAAAGGGCCTGTTTCCACACTCTAGGGATTCTAGGATTTTTTGAGTATGACAGGAACTTTTAGATTTGTTCATTCAGGCATTTCTGTGAAGGTTTGCAGCCTTGGAATAGAACTCAAAGTTAACAGTTGAATGTATTGAAAAAAAAAGAGAAAATTGTGCTGTTGCTTACGAGCAATGTCAGAAACATCCAGAAGACCAGAGAGTTAATCACTATATGTGGGCACTGAAGAATGGAGGCCAAAGTGCTAAACTAGTGAAAAGACTGGTGAAAAAACTGCTGGAAGTGGAATTTCTGGAAAACCCTATAGATTTGCTTTGAAGGTACTGTGACATCAGTATGAAGAAAGCTCCAGCACAAACTCCAGTCATGCCAACCACACAAGAATCCTTAGCTAAGGTTTGAGAGTCTGATGTTGTTGGAGTAAGTTGTGTTGAGTGTTTCTTTTGATTTAGTCTTATTGTAAATGTCAAAATGTTGTATAACAGTTTATGTTTTTCATTCACATAATAAACTTTTATATTTTGTTAAAAGTACATTAACAGCTTCTTGTGAATATGTTCAATAACTGACCACGGCAAACAAGAAGAAAATAGAAAGCTTCTGATCCATCAAGCCAGCTCTCAATCTGGGATTTGATTTGTCCAGTATCATCATCAGCATTTTAATTTTAGCTAGGTTAGGTTCCACTAATCATTCCTTTACTTTTCAACTAGAAATGAGCCTTACTATCTCAGATTATCAAGATGTCTTGTACTGTGTGATATTCTTAACATGCCCTTTTTTAAATTCATTGGATCAGGATGTCACTGGCCAGGCCAGCACTTATTGCCCTGAGGGCTTTTAGGTGTCAACCACATTGCTGTGGATCTGGAGTTACATGGAGGCAGACCCAGAAGGATGGCATTTTTCTTCCTTAAAGGGCAGTAGTGAACTAGATGGGTATTTCCGACAATGATTTAATCCCAGATTTTTATTGAATTCAAATTCCACCGTCTACCCTGGCAGGATTCAAACCCAGGTCCCCAGAACATTAACTGTGTCTCTGGATTAACAGTCTAGTGATAATATCACGAGGCCATTACCTCCCTCTGTTGAATCTCTGAGAGTAGAACCTTTGTTCTATTGTTTCTCCTTTCATACTTTTACAATTCGATTTTAACAATTGAAATCAACTTTGTGAAAAAGGTGGATTGGACGCGGAAAACAAAGATGAATTTCTTAAAGGTAAATCTTGTCTGACAAACTGAACTGAACTCTTTGAGATGGTTGATAGTGAAGTAGAGAGATCAAATGGTTTTTGAAAGGCATTTGACAAAGTGCCGCTTCAAAAACCTGCAAGTATATGGGGTCATAGGGAAAGTGTCAGATTAGATACAAATCAGCTCCGTAACCAAATAGTGTTGGATAGTTTTCAAACTGCAAAGTAGATTGCAGTGGTTTTATCAAAGGATCGGCTTTGAGTCGATTATTCTCGACAATTTTTAGGCACGAACAAGAACACGGGCAGAGAGAGCAGTGTTATGAACTTGTAGATTACAGGAAAATTGGCAAAATTGCATCTAGTGATGAGGATAGTTGCCGACAATTCTAGGTCCCATATTTCATGGAAAGCTACAAAAGCATTAAAAAAAAATAGAGGGGATGTTTACCAGGATGTTTCTGCAATGAGGGACGTCAGTATCAGAAAGGTTAGAACATTTTATTTTGAACAGACAAAGTTGAGGTGACCTAGAAGGCTTTTAAGGTGATGACAGGTTTTGATAAAGTAAGTAGTGAGGAAAATATTCCCTATGGGCTAATAATTATACATCATAGATACAAAATCTCTGGAAAAATGGAGGGAGATCAGAAGTGCTATCATTGCATTGTCAAGATCTAGAACATTTTGTGAATAGATGGTGGAAAATGAACTTAGCAAATAGTCTTGAAATAGATTTGGTCAGATACTGAGGATGAGGAAAAATGCCAGAAATTGCTGGAAAAACTCTGTAGGTCTGGCAGCATGTTCGGAGAGAAAACAGTTAACTTTTCAAGTCCAGTGACCCTTCCTCAGAACCCCAGCTTTTCCAGCAATTTCTGCTTTTGTTTCGATTTCCAGCACCCGCAGTTCTTCGGGGTTTTTGTTAAATGTTTGCTGAGGGTGAGGAACTTGCAGCAGTGCTCCCCAAACTTTTTCCCCACTGTGACCTCGTGTTTCAGACTTGAAAACTGCCATGATCCCAGATTTCTGACAGGGGTGGGGGAGCCATGAGATGAGGGGGAGGGTTTGGAGGGGGAAGATAGAGCGGTGTGTGGAGGTTGGGGCGCTGTCTTAGACTGAGGGTTTTCACATAAAAGACACCTACCTTTTCACTGGGTTTTTCAGGTTAGGAATTTATTCTATAGTGTATCTGTCAATATTCTCTGCCCCTTGAACCCTTGCCCAAAAATAACAGCAATGAATTTCTGTCTTTTAAACAATAAAAATGCATTTATATTCTTTTCAGGAGGAGATCTGGATTTCAATTAACCTTTGGGAAAAATACTTCACTCGTCCTGCTTTGCCTGAAGTTAATCATAAAAATGCTGGCTGATTTAAAAAAAAGCACAAAATAATTTCACTAATGGCAAACTTAAAAAAAAATCAAGGAAGTTACACAAATAACACTGAAAGTAAAATAGATATACACAAGCTCAAAGGGATATTTTAAACCAAATCCTTATAATTCAGTCCTTTTAAAATATGAAGATTATTTCAATGCTTAGTCAACTGATTTTTATTCCAACAGGGGAGCATGAGTAATCAAATGCCATGGGGTACAGAGTCAAATGGTGATTCACTGTTCATTTCATTAAAATTGGCAGCTAATCAATCTACATGCCATTCAAAAGGTTGAAATCAGCCTGTTGATAAGCTGCTGATTTTCAATTTAAATTGTTTATTTTAATAAGAGCCTGAGATTGTCTCTGCACCAAGACTTGTGAGGAAAGTTTGGCATGATTGTTTTTCTCTTTGAACTTACGTTTCTAATCAGCCTGTTCAGAGATGTTATTATACGCCTTTTTGAAATGATTGATACTCAACAAGTTTAATATAAAGCCTATCAGCCTCATATTAAGATGGAAAAACATTGTGGGCAGCTTGTGCAAAATGTTGTCAAACCATTTGCCTGTTTGAAAGCGGATTATCCAAGTTACCTTTCTACCTGGTGAAACTGCATTTTGGGGAGAACCAATTAAGGTAATGGTGAAGGGACACTTTAGGTTTCACATTCAAAAGTGTTGGTGTATCCAATTCTCAACTCTTCCTTCATTCTCATTGCCTCGTTTTACAAACCTCCTCTTTTTGAGCTTTCGATCTCACTGAGATCCCTTCTGTAGAGACTGTAACGAGGTCAGCCAGGTGGACCTCTTAGAATGTGAGTTCCCTGATTGGGGCTGTTAATCGGATCCAATCAGGGAGCCCTGGCTGACAGACATGGACCGGAGTGTAAGGGGTTCTGCTCACACTGAGAGCTGGCTCTGAGGGAGCTGGACCGGTGTCAAGGACTCTCCCCGTGTAAATAAACGGTGACTTGGTATCGGGATACCAGCCTCTGTGGTGTTATTTCACCATCTGTCACTCAAGTGATGTAAAATATCCCATGGCACAATTTCAAAGAAGCGTTGGGGAGTTTGCCCCAGTTTTACATTTTTGAGTTACCACAAGAGAAGAGATTATCTGATTATTATCTCATTATTATTTGTGTGAGCTTGCTCCATGTACAGCTTGCCTTTTCCTACATGCCTGCCATAACTACATTTAAAGATTGTACTTTTTTTGCCTGTTAAGTATTTTAGTGTGACTGATGAAAATTGAATAAAATGCAAGTCGGTTTTTATTCCTTTGGGCTGGACTTCACCTTTGCTGTCAACTCAAACAATACCAGTTGGTATTCCTTCAGGACCTATCACTTAGAGTCATAAAGTCATAGAGATATACCGCACGGAAACAAACCCTTTGGTCCAACTTGTCCTTGCCGACTAGATAACCTAAATAAATCTAGTCCCATTTGCCAGCATTTGGCCCATATCCCTCTAGACTCTTCCTATTCATTGACTCATCCAGATGCCTTTTAAATGTTGTAATTGTACCAGCTTCCACCACCTCCTCTGGCAGCTCATTCCATACGCACACCACCCTCTGCATGAGAAGATTGCCCCTTAGGTCCCTTTTAAATCTTTCCCCCTCACCTTAAATCTATGCCCTCTGGTTTTGGACTTACCGCACACCGGGGAAAAAAACCTTGCCTATTTACCCTATCCGTGTCCCTCATGATTTTACAAACCTCTATAAGGTCACCCCCTCAGCCTCTAACGCTCCAGGGAAAACAGCCCCAGCCTATTCAGACTCTCCCTACATCTCAGACCCTCCAACCCTGGCAACATCCTTGTAAACCATTTCTGAACCCTTTCAAGTGTCACAACATCTTTCCTATACCAGGGAGACCAGAACTGAATGCAGTATTCCAAAAGTGGCCTAACCACACGTCCTGTACAGCCGCAACATGACCTCCCAACTCCTATACTCAATGCACTGACCAATAAAGACATCCATACCAAATGCCTTCTTCACCGCCCTGTCTACCTGAGACTCCACTTTCAAGGAACAATGAACCTGCACTCCAACATTCACCAGGACCTTACCATGAAGTGTATAAGTCCTGCCCTGATTTGCCTTTCCAAATGCAGCACCTCAAATTTATCTAAATTGAACTCCATCTGCAACTCCTTAATCTCTCCAATCTCTTTCTTGACTGTTGTGATTAAACTATGATGATTCATTAATATTAAATTATTGGTTGTCTGTCTTCTTTTCTCACTTGTTCCCTGGGCTGTAAACTAACTGTTTTTCTGGATTGTTTAGCCATCAAATCATTGTTATCCTACAGTGGTCTCTTGATACACTAAAACATCTTTAGAAGTTAAAATGTTCTGCCATTATTCGACAACCTATTTCAATGCTGCTGTTACAAAAAAATGAATGTTGCCTTATTGATTAATGGCACAACACCCACTTCTAGGTATTACACTTTGTAATGTTCATAATTTAAGGTCATACCTGTTTAATCTGTATCCCACCAGGAGTGGCATTTTTTATTTGCTGTCACCCTAAACCATCACTTTTAAGAAATGTTCGCTTCACTTCTGCCACCGAGATGAACATTAAGATGGCAGTTTTCCATTGGCACGGCCTGTTTATTTTGACGGGCCAGTTGGCACATATCATCCATGACCTGATTTATGCCTGCAATCATTAATGGATGTTGGCATTGAACAGTTAGTGACAGCCGGCCTCCAGTCATGATGATTAATTAAAGTGATTTCTCAGCATTATAATTTGGACATGCCTTCGCTATGAAAGTTGAATTTCTGTAAACAGAGACTTTGATCTGTTTCTTGTACCATAAATTAGTCTGCAAGCCAGAGTTCACAAATATTCATGACATTTTATAGTTTGTCACAGCTCATTTAAGGAGAGGCAATAGTCGAGTGGAATTATAGACTAGACTATTA